AAAGGGTATGTGCCCAAGGCTTCATAGCTGAGTACAACGGTTCTCTATCTACTAGCCCATGGTGCTCCAATTGATTTTGAAAGTTGGCCTTGAAGTCTTGACCAAAGCGGGTGCCCCGTGGAGAGGGGCAGATGCAGCCATGGAAGGGGCAGTTACCACCCAAGTGCAGCTTCTCCCAGGAGGAGGCCAGGCACACTTGGCATTTCCAAGGTAGGGAATGTCACTGATGTTTAGTAACCTGGCAGTGATGAAGTGTCCAAGGCAAGAGGACACCGAGCAGTGAGTCAGGGATGAAGGGGCAGAGGGCTTGCAGGCCTACTCTCCGCCTGCCCGGGGTGCACAGCCTTGCAGGAGCCGCCCCTCCTCTCCTTGCCCCCCAGCACCCTGCTCTATTTGCCTCCGTCCCCACCTGTCTGCAGGAGGATCTGCCTTGGTGTCGACCCCAGACCTGCACACAGCTCATGCTCAAAAGCAGGGGCGGGAGGGACACCTGTGGTACTCAGCTGCAGCTGAGACTTAAAGATCAGGAAGGTGGATCGCTTCGTTTGTCCTCAAATTCATCAGGTGGAAAAGCAAAGGCCTTGAACCTGGAATGCCTAAACCCTGAAGGGCAGGGTCTTAGCTGACGTCTTGCATTTGTTTCTTCCCCAGAAGCCAGGTGTCACCAACCTGGCCATGTGCCATTCCAGACAAGCTTCTCCTGGGGCCTCGTGCTGCTCCGCAGAGCACTGAACGCTTAGTAGGTGGTTCACTGAGTACCGGAGACCGTCTTGCCCGCAGCCCGGCTGCAGGGCTTGAGCCGCGAGGCTGTCTGTGCGGGCGGGTTGAGGTCAGGGTCTGAGGCTTCCTGCAAGAAGGTTGCTTGGATACCCTGAACAGAAAGTTGAACCTGCACTTTAAGTAGCTTAAAAATGATTTGTCAATGGCGACAATTTACAAAAATATATTCCTTTTGCAGCATCTCCCAATCGCCAGGATTTATGGCCTCATCCCCTGGATTTGAAAGTGTACCGGCATGCTCTAGCAAATGGGAAAATGTATGAACAATTTGTTGGCTTTTTTTTTTTATCAAGTTTTCCCAAATATGTAAACTCTGAGAGTGCCTTATTCTTTTTAAATGATCATTCATTTGTCTCCAGACTCTATCTTTTGGCACAATTTATTATTCTCTATTTCAAAAAACTTAAATGCATTTTGCATATTAGCACGTAACTCTTGTTCCTGTCTCCTCAGTGTGGAAAGGGCTGGATTGCTTTTATAAAGAAAAAAATGGCTAATAAAATTGGCCTCAGCACCATTGCTCTGCAATTCTTATGAACAGTAAAGTGGTACTTACCGTCATTGATGTTAAAAGCTATTTCTAAATTATGGTGCCATTTATTATCTCTAGTGTCCAAAGTAAGTTTAAATGATGCTTATAATTCATGTTTTACCAAATTTCCTTTTCCCCCCGAGGATACCTCTGATTAACTTATGCACATTAAAGCGCTTTTTAAATTCTTCTTTTATTGCCATTATGCTCTGAAAATCTCAGCGATTCTCAAAAATGGGTAATAAACTTGAGATAAAATGCTGCAGTTTTAGATCAATGCTGACATATCACTGTGGTGATTTCTACAGAGCTAAAGTGATAATGCTTCATATTTACGGAATATATACTAGGTTATTACTACAGTATTACCATTTTGTTCTAAGATGAAATGAGTAATTTACCAATTTATTAAACAGTTACATTTAAGTATTGCTTAGGACATTACCACCCCAATCTGTTTACTTAGCTTGAAGAGTTACCATTAAGATACCCTGTTTATTTAGGTAAAATTTGTAATCATCATGCCTTCCATTAACCAACTTATTTTTCTGCAAGGCTAATTGTCTGGAAATGAGTTTCTTCTTATTTACTGTGCTGCATTCTGCTTAGCTGGCTAAAAACGTCACCCCAGCAAGAAGTGCTAGGGAAATTAATAATACATACAGAGAACAGTTTTAATTAGTATAATACCAAATGTTAATAAAAGATTTATGACACCGTTAGAAAGTTCTAACAGAAGAGATCTTAACGGCTTCAGGCTCAATTTGTCAGGAGAGTACAACGTCTGCCTTGTGTGGGAGGCCAGACTTGGGTGGGTGCAGGGGCTACAGGGGGGGTGCTGCCTTGAAAGAGGTTTGCTTGGAGCAGAATAGACTTCATGCCAGGGGAGGAGAATTTGAGACATGGATAGAGAGTGCTAATTTTAACTTGAAAGATGCCAAAATTTTTGCAAAGTAAAAGAGGAACACAGGCCAGCCCGGGGATCTCCCGAGACATTTTCCGAAGCACAGTGGCCTTTCATCCGAACTGGGAACCGGACTTGGAGAAGCTGGGCTGCTATTAGTTCAAAAGCCCATGGGGAAAGGAATCCAGGAGGACCTGGGAAAAGAACAAGTGATATTTCTTGAGCATCTATTAGGCATCGTGTCTACACATACGTCTACAGTATTTTAATCTTCTTAGCAGAGAGATAGCATTAGCCTCATTTTTCTGGTAAGGAAGCAAAACCCTGGAGGGTAAGACTCTTGCCTGAAGTTATACATACAGCTAGTGAGTAGAGCAGGATTTGAACCCAAGCATGTGAAGACCTCATCGCGCACTGAGTCCTGCGAGGCAGTCCCTATGCGAGGAGTGAGTGACCCTGCTCTTCATCTGTGTGTTTTGTCCCCGTGATGTCAGCCAAATGAAGGTCCGCATTTGGGGCGGGGGTAACACAGACAAGCAAGAGGGTGTTTAACGCAGTCCCACCTGCCACTGTCCTTCCCCAAAGGGGCAGGGCTCCCTCTTCGTGTGTCCATCTTCCCGACTATGACGAGAGCTCACAAGGACAGGGGCCATTTCTTACCTCCTTGGGCTCCTCAGTGCCTGGCACATAGTAGGCACTTTTAAAAAGATTTAAAGGATCAAGAGAAAAAAACAAGTGAAAAGGAGAGATGAACACAGCCTTAGTTTTTGGTGTTAACGGGAGAAATATTGTCCTTGGATAAATACATCGTCTTGTGTTGCAGGAAGTTGCCCACCTCCCCGCCACCGAGCGCAGAGCACCGGCTGCAGTATGAGGGGTTATTATTGTTGCCATTTTTTCCAGCCCCCAAGGGCCAGGTCTTAGAGCGGCGGGAATCCTTTGTACAGTAAGCTGATTCTTTCCTCGCTCCAGTAATAAAAACTGACCAAACCAGTTACTTTCCTAACATTCTTTCCAATTTGAGAAGCTCCATATCATGAGGCACTTGAGGGCTGATGGCTCTTTTATCCTACCCTTGATTAAAAGAGAAAAAAAGTAGTACAAGTTCTTACACAGAAGTTTTCTGGGCTATGTGGCAAAAGAGCCTGGGCTGCTTCTAGAAAAAGAAGCACAATGTCTGAGACCGGGGCCACCCTGGGAGGAGCCTGGGAGACTCGCTGAGCACCCTGCTCGTCAGGACTCCTCCCTCTGGGGCCGAACTTTCGTCCTTCAACAGGCGAATGTATAAACAAATTGTGGTGTGTGCCTACAAGGGAATATTATTCAGCCACAAAAAGGAAGGAAACACTGATCCATGCCACAACGTGCATGGACCTCACAACCATGATGCTAGGTGAAGGAGTCGGACTCAAAGGCCACATCTCGTCTGAATCCATTTATAGGAAATGTCCAGAATACGTAAATCCATAGAGACATCAAGCAGATTCGTGTTTACCAGGGTCAGGGGAGGGGGAAACTGGGAGTGATTACTCCCATGGCCAAGGGGGGTTTTCTGGGGTGATAAAAAACTAAATAGAAGTGGTAGTTGCACAACATTGCAAATGTATTAAACGCCACTGACATTTATACTTTAAAATAGTTGTAGGTTATGTGAATGTCACCTCATGTTTCTTATAGAGAGACAGAGTCTTGCTCTGTCACCCAGGCTGGAGTACAGTGGCACAATCAAAACTCACTGTAGCCTTGAACTCCTAGGCTCAAGTGATCATCCTGCCTCATCTTCCCAAGTAGCTGGGACTATAGGCACACATCACCATGCCCAGCTAATTTAAAAGAAAAAACTTTTTCTTAGAGAGTGGGTCTCACTATGTTGCCCAGGCTGGTCTTGAACTCGTGGCCTCAAGCAATCCTCCTGCCTCAGCCTCCCAAAGAGCTGGGATGACAGGTATGAGCCATTATACCCGGTTCACCTCGTTGTTTAAAAAGTTATTTGAGGAAAATTAGCATAAGCAGCCAAAACTACGTATTCCTTAGTGTTGATCACAGCAGGGGCTGTAAGAGGGAGAAGGTGGCAATAAACATTTGTCCGTCATTTAGAGGTTAGTGGCATAAAATCAATTATACCATGGAATGAGAGGCAGCCATGAAAAAAGGATGGGGAAAATCGGTAGGTACTGACATGAAATGATATCCACAATGTATTATAAAGTGAAACAATCTAATTGCCAAATAATATGTATCTTACATCCCATTAAAACACACACAGGTGTACCTGCACAGGCAGAGGACAAAAGTCGGCAAGGTTGCACAGCAAAGTGACAATTTCTCAGCTTACTGCTGAGGGAGCATGCTGCAGGGGGAGGGGTTGCCATCCACTTTGTCCTGTATCACAGTGTGATCTGTAAGAGATTAAAAACTTTTTGAAAATAAATGGGTATTATTTAAATTAAGTCAAAGGTTATAATAATGTATAAGGTGCAGAAGAAGAAAGTGACCCCTCCCATGCAGCCATCAAAACCCTTTCTCAGTTTATATGGTCCCCGAGTTTTGTTTTATTTTTTAAACACATGGGACACTAAGATTTTTTTTTTAAGTACCACTAAAAAAACCCCATAAGACATCAAAAGACAGAACTTCAGACTAAGCAGGGCCTCACTTACCCTGCCTGGCTTCGCTGCGTTTCTCCTGAAGCCCTGCACCATTCCTTGAAGGGACCAGGAACTCCCTGCCCCCCCCCAATATTTTAAAGATTTTTAAAGTACTGCATTTTCCTATGATTTTCAGAATCCACAATGGAGACGCTGGACATCAAATGTTTATGAGACAAAATGGTTGTGCTCCACGTGCAAAGTAAGAGAAAGACTTAGCTAAGCAGCTCTAGACCATGGGCGCCCGGGGAAACCTTTTCATCTCAATTATTGGAGTGCTTCAGAAGGTATTTTTACTCTGAACGATTCAGATAATTATCTCAATCTTTGACTTTGTTTTGACTAGCTTTGCAGACCGATTGGAGTTCAGGAAGGATCTCAGTTACTTCAACTAATATTCTTTCACATTCATACTGCCAAGTCCCGAGATTTTTTCTGTTTTGTTTTTCAATGGCTTTTCTCAAATACAGCCAACATTATCATGTATGCTGTTTTCTCCCTTTTCAAAAGGTAGGATCTGGAAGAATGGAGGTAAAGTGATGTGCAGGCCTTGGTGTGTGTGTTTCTGTGTTTGCTCCTGCACTGTGGACAGCCTGTGTCAAATATTTGATGCAGAAAGAGAGCTAATTTTTCTCTCTTATTTTCAGTGTATTATCTTCTGTGAGTTCTAAATAATTGATAAGGAGGTCCCTTTCATAATTAAAATGGATGTCCCTACATGTCAACACTGATAGCTTATCCGGTAACGGGTGAATGTAGAGCCACGTTGAGTACAGGCTGTATTTATTACTCACCCTGCATGGGCTGCAATGCAGAGCGCTGGGTCGGGGGACACAAGGCTGATTTCAGTGGCGATGACAAGAGAACAAAAAGGACAGAAGCCTAGGAGATGACTTGGGGAGAAGACCCTGCCTGGCCCCAGGGCCCACATGGGACCACTTGGTGACTGAGGCACAAAAAGGCAACATAGGGAAGGAGGCCTGAGGACACGGTGCCATGTGGAATCTGCTGAGTTTTCTCTTTCTTTTCTTCCAGCCCCTAATGCCTTTCCAGTCACCTTCTTAATGACATCTCCCGGTTGCCCCCTTCCTTCATGAAAACCTGCTGCGAGGCGAGAGGTGTCAGGTGGAACCCTCCCGGCTGTAGTTAACTTCTCGCAAGAATTGGAGTTGATTCATTCACCTTTGGATCCCACAAGCACCTCCTCATCCCTGTCCTGTGCCCTGCACCGTGGCTGGTGCTCGAGCCACTACAGTGAAAAGCCCGGGGTCACCGCAGCACTAGTTACGAACCAACCCAAGTGTCCAGCAACAGATGATCGCATAAAGAAAATATTCGGCCACAAAAATGAAGGAAACCCTGCCGTTTGTGACAACATGACAAACGTGAAGGACATGATGCTAATTGAAATAAACCAGACACAGAATGACAAATACGGCATGATCTCATTTATATGTGGGATCTAAAAACGTCAGAGAAGCAGAGAGGAGAATGGTGGTTACCAGGGCCTGGGGTGGGGGTGGGGGAAGGGGAAGGGGAGATGTTGGTTGAAGGGTATAGAGTTTCAGTTACACAGGAGGAATACATTTGAGTGATCTATTGCACTGTGCGTAGTGACTACAGTTAATAATAATGTATTTTGCATTTCACAATTGCTACAGGAGAGATGTTAAATGTTCTTGCTACAAAAAATGATAAGTAGGTGAGGTGATGGATATGTTAATTCGCTTAATTTAATTATTCCGTAATGTAGACATATATCAAAACATCACATTGGGTCAGGCACAGTGGCTCATGCCTAATATCCCAGCACTTTGGGAGGCTGAGATGGGAGGATGGTTTGAGGCCAGCAGTTTGAGACCAACCTGGGCAACATAGCAAGACCCCATCTCTACAAAAAATAAAAACAAAAAACTCCCTCTAAACCACATTACATTGTACCCCAGAAATATATACAATTATCATTTGCCAATTTAAAAAAAAAGCTCCCAGTCTTGGCAGAACCCCTGGTAGGGGGTTGGGCAGACAGATGTTTGCCAACAGGGCAGTATGGATAGGGATTGGGTGCTGAAGAAACGAGGAGGAGAGACTGGTCATCCGGTTGCCCCAAGAGTGGAGAGTGGGACAGGCATTTGGGGGCGGGAGGGGGGCAGCATTCTGGGTGGGTGAAGGCGACCCACTCACTGGGGTTGAATTCCAGGTCGAGGAGCGAGGACATCGCCTGTGCACCATGCTGGTTACTGACGGATCTTCTATGAGGGGCGGGGATGAGGGGCGATGCTAAATTCTAGGGACGTCTTCCTGGTAGCCATGGGGGAGGAGCGCCTGGAGGAAACACGGGAAGCAGAACTAAAGGGTTCGGGCTGTAGAAGAAGGGGTACCAGGAGGGAACAGTGTGGGCTCCAGAGAAGTGAGGCAGCCTGAGTGACAGACACAGGGGACCCGAAGGGTGATGTGTAGCCAGATCTCCCTGAACCTTGAAGTCGCCCCCGATGGGGCGGCCGGGCAGGTCCACACCCGTGATCTCAGGCACGTGCCCTCTGAAGCCAGGTCCTCTCCGCTCTCACGTGGGCTCTGCCTGCATCCGCCAGCACCTCCTGGCTGCTGAGCAGTGGGGTGACTACTCCCTGCAGGTGGGGTTGGCAGCTGCGCAAACGCACTCGCAAAGGGGAACGCCACGCACGAGCACGCCACGCACGAGCACGCAGAGCCCAGCCCTGGAGAGCCCAGCACGGGCGCCCGCGGGGAGTGAATCGCGGAGCCTCCCGAGTGAGGAGACCTTTGAACACGGGAAAGTGAGAGCCACAGACCAGGCTGGGTGCCTTTCCAAGCAGACTCTTGTCAAAGAAAAAAAAGGCGGCAGCGTGTCAGTTCTGGCAGAAACACCCAAGACCACAGATGCAATTGCCCGCCTGCCCCGGCTGTTCCCTCTGTCTCTCCCGGCCGGCCTCCTCCCTCCCGCCTTGGCTTGGAGACGCCAGCTGCCTCCAGAGAGGGGACAGGCCTCAGCCTGGGTGGACACCCGGAAGGAGCCAGCGGATAACTTCGGAAAAGGGTGGCTGTTCTCGAATAGTACCAAGTCCTCGGCTCCTAAGAACAAGCAGCACTGACACTGACCCTTTTTAAAGTTTTGTTAACAGCAGCCTTGCTCACATGTTAAAGATGCATATTTATTTATTTGATTTACAATATTTTAAACATATTCAATGCCCGAAGATTCCCAGGATCATTTTTCCAATTAAAAAAAATCACTATTTAAGTCTAATGCCTATATTCAATACTTTCCTCAAGGAAAAAGACAAAGGCTTTCTTGTCCCTACCAAAAAATGGGCTTTGGGGCAGTTGCAGGATCTGGCCACACCTGCGGGCACCGGGGAGGGGTGGCGAGGCTGTCACCTGGGCGGATCCCTCCCTGGGAGGTCGGTGGGCTAACTCTCTGAGAAACGGGTGCTGTGAGTTAGCAGGAGACTGCAACTGTTGTGTCTGAATAGAAAAAACACAATAAAGGGGAAATCCTGGTGGCTGCACCTCCCCAGCTGTATGGCCTACTTGCAAATTATTGCGAAAGAAATCTGGCAACGATGCCTGGAGCCCTCGGGCTACGCCATCCCTCCGGCACGCGGGCTCTCCTGCAGCCCAGCGTGTGCATTCTGCGTCCTCTGTTCTCGGGCAGTGCGCACTGGTCTACTGTAAACCTCAGCTGCAGGAGCACACCAAGCCAGAGGACATTTACTCTTGCGACCTATGACACCGCGGTTCTGTCCCTGTGTTGGTGCTGAAGCAGGTGCTGCTCTCTGTGTGAGCTTATTTGTACCTGTAGTGGCCGGCACCCCCATGGGACTGCGTTGTGGGCACAGGGAGGTGAGTTCTCAGGGACTGGACGTGAGCTTGGGAGGGACACCCACAGCTGTGACACTACGTAGTACTCCTTAGGGTCCACACCTGTGCCTCTCAGCCCGAGGCTTTTCCTCTGCCCCTGGGATCACGTGCTCTGTTGCCCTATAAGCAGGGCATGCTGGGAGGGCCAGAGAGTTATTGCATGTTGCCCTCGATGGGCCAGGAGCTGGGGGATCGATACCCCAGCTGCCGGGCCCTGGGTGGAGAGGCTCGTTCTCGCATCTCCCTGAGGTCCACTGTGAGACCGAGCCCCAGTCATCCACACGGGAGCTGGCCTGAAAGCACACCTGTTATTGGCTGTGCTTCCTCCCATCTCACCTCTGCACTCCCTTGTCATCCCCTCCTGGATCTCTGCCAAATCAACTGCTTGCACCTAAATCCTCATCTCAGAGTCTGATTTTGGGGAAACCCAAAGAGAATGAAATGGAGTTAGCTACGTAGAATCCTATGAAATGATCACCTATAACCACAGTGAGTTCATATGGTTTAACTGTCATTCTTGCTGCATAAAATGAGAGATGTCCTGAGATGCCAAAATGACACGTCTGATCTCTGTTAACTGAAGCATATCTGTGTTTGTGAAGCTATGGGCTGTGTGCAACAATAATTCTATATTTCCTTTCTCACCTATATTTTCTTGTCCTGATGGAAATCCCAGGCTTGTCATTGTTGATGATTACTTGCTATTCCATTGTTTTGTTCTACCTTGAATGCAGGGCCAGCTTCGTGGGCGTGCAACCTATGCGATCTACAGGCCCCACTCAGGTGAGTTCTGCACTTGGTTAATGCTCTCCTGTTGACATCCTGAAAGGCTTAAGAATTTTTGAAGAAGGGGCTCCAAGTTTTCATTTTGCAGGGGGTCTTCAAATTACGTAGCTGATCCCGCCTGCCTAATTCAGGTGGCCTTTACTTTAGAGCATTCTCCCCACCCAATTTTCCTCCTCTGTAAATAAGACAGTGTCAACATGTAAGAAAGAAAATAGTATCCAACTTCAAGATACAATATTTTTTAAATTTAAATTTTTAAATGTTACCCAGGCTGGTCTCGAACTCCTGGCTTCAAGCCATCCTCCTGCCTTGGCCTCCCAAAATGCTGGGATTTACAGATGTGAGCCACTGCGCCCAGCCTAAGATACAAAGATTTTGATATTATGTTGGCAAGAGTAGGGAAAGCAGGCACGCTCATACACAGTTGGTGGGACTGTTAACTGTTTGGTCTTTTTCTAGAGCAATTTGGCAATATCTTTTCTAATTAAAAACGCCCATTCCCTTTAATTGAATGACTCCACTAACAGGATTTTATCCAACAGATATACTTCAATGTTTGTTCAAAGAAGGGTAATTCAAATACAGGGTAATTTATTGCAGCACCATTTTAAAAATCAGTTGATTGAAAATGACCTAAATGAACCTCAAGAGTGGACTGATTCAATACCATACGGAATACCTATGTGATAGAGTACGATGCAACCATTTAAAAAGGGGACTAATACGTAACTATCTCCAGAGGTACTGCAAAGTGAAAAAGCTAGGTACAGAATGGTGTGCATAGTAACTTACATTTGTACATGAAAGATGGGAGGAGCTAACACACTTAAGGGATGCATAGGTCAACTCTGGAAGACTGATGGGGAGCTGGTGTCATGATTGGGGAACAGGGGACAGTGATGGAGGGCAACAGACTTTTCCCTATGGATTCCCCTTTTAGGTGCCTGAATTTTCTTTCCTTTTTTCCCTATGTGCATTTAAAAATTAATTACAAATATTTAATACTTTAAAAAATGTAAAAAAAAAAAAAAAGTCTAGGCATTGTGGCTCATGCCTGTAATCCTAGCACTTTGGGAGGCAGGAGGATTACTTGAGGACAGGAGTTCAAGACCAGCCTGGGCAACCCTGTCTCTATAAAAAATAGAAAAATTAGCTGGGTGTGGTGGTGCACACCTTTAGTCCCACCTACTGGGGTGGGGGGCTGAGGTGGGAGGATCCCTTGAGCCCAGGAGTTTGAGTTTGTAGTGAGCTATGATGGTGCCACTGCACTCTAGCCTGGGTGACAGAGTGAGGTTCCATCTCTAAAAAAAAAAATGCAAACAAACCAAAACCAAAACCAAAAACCAAGCAAGCAAGCTAAAAGGAAGCCGAGCCAGCCAAGCAGCCCTTTCCCTCTGACTTCAAGCTTCTGGTCTGGAGCGGTAAGAACTAAAGAGCCATTTGAGCTCATTTCTGCAATGTGGTTCTTCTCTTTGTCCTGGGTCTGTCCAGGGCTTTTGAAATTTAGAACAAAAGAAAACCTCTTTATGTCTATTGATAAAGTTGTATATTTTCTCTGTTTTGAAAACAAGAACGTGAGTGATGCTGTCCCATACCCCCATCCCACTTTGGCTGCTAGGAAGCTCAGAGACAAATTCAAAGCAGCATGAGCTGTATGTTAAATGCTTTTTTCCTTCCTCTGGATTTAATTTTCTACTTTTATTTCATGTTCTTTTACCTTGCTTCTCTATTTATATTTTAAGTTATGATTGATTTTATTGCAT